GTAGTGCTGAGAATCGAACCCAGTTCCTCATACATGCTAGGCAAGTGCTCTACCACTGAGCACCACCCCAGCCCCTTAAGCAAGATCTCTTAATCTCTGAATAATTATTCCTTAACCAGAATACAAGGGGACATATTACGCTCAAGCATAAATTTGGGTTATTGCAAATGTTGGGGTGAAGTGTCTTGTTTAAGATGCTTGTCAAGGAGGCTACGATACAATAATGATGAAGAATTGATAATTCTGCTTGAACTGATGATGCACTTTGGGTGCCACTTATTCTGTGAGCAGCAGGTGGCACTGTGAGACTCAGGATGGGAACTCCTAGAAATGCTCCAGTGCAGAGGGCATCATTCATTCATTGATTTTCCTCTGAGGCTGCTGCTTCCAGGTAAATTGCCCTTTCCACCCCTGACATCCACATGTACCTCTTCTTTTTCTTTTCTTTCTTTTGTTTTTTGGTATCAAAGTTTGAACCCAGGGGCATCAGCCTTTTTGATATTTTATTTACAGACAGGATCTCACTGAGATGCTTATGGCCTCACTAAGTTGCTGAGGCTGGCTTTGAACTCAAAATCCTCCTGCTTTGGCCTCCAAAGCTGCTGGTATTCCAAGCATGCACTACTGCAACTGGCCCCATGTGGCCCTTCTTCTGAAATCAGAAAAGTACTAGCACAAAGCCACCAGGCTCAGAGCTCATACAAGAGCAAAGACAAACAAGCTGCTGAAGAGAAGAACAAATTTGCATCCACTGCAAGAACACAGGATGAAAAAGATTATTGCCTAGTCCAGGCCCAGCTGGGCACCTCAGGAAATAATGTTTGGAAACACCTCCTGTCCACCTTGGACTGGCTTCACATTTACTTCTTGCTCCTTGTTTTCTCCATAAGCCAGACATTCCCAAAGCAATTTGGGGACCCTCTTGGTATGTCCCTCCAAACAAAGCTTCTAAGGTTAAGTCTTTCCTATTGTTTCAAGCACCCACTGTCACAAAATTGTATGTTCTCAAGTCTTTGTGCCCTCCTTCCCCATCTGCTTCTGCCTCACTTTGGAGCCTCAGCCATAGTCACCTACATCCTGAGCAGTGAACACAGCAACTACTTCATATGGTGGTATAAGCAGAGGCCAGGAAAGAGCCACCAGTATGTAATGAAGGTGAACAGTTTGGCAACCACAGCAAGGGGGATGGGATCTCTGATCACTTCACAAGCTCCAACCCTGGGCTAACAACTACTTAACCATTGCCAATACTCAGGCTGAGGATAAGGACCAGTACAATGGTGGAGAGAAACATACAATTGATGGCCAGGGAGGGTGAACCACAGGGACAAAGGCAAAGGAGAAGTGAAGCCAAAACTTCTGTGCCTTTCCTCCTCCTCCTCAGAGACTTGGAGTTACAGCCCCACATCCCTCTCCAGAACCCTGATACCCCTTGTAAACTCCCTTATTCTGCAACTCAGCTCCCAGGACATTCCTAAGGAGAGGTAACTTGGGTCATAATTGAGGTCATTTTGACAACATAATGTTGTGGTCCTTTAATATCAGCCAGTGGGGTTAAGAATGTGAGAGAGGAGAGCCGTCCAGGGAAAAATTTGTTCTGGGGAAAATGGTTGGGCTGAGATGATCCTGTGTCCAAGAGGCCCATTAGACCTTGGGATCCATCTGGATTTCTGTTTGTTGAAGGGACGCTGAGGGAGGTTTCCATAGGTGACAATGAAAGTTGGCTTCTGTGAGTATGGCAGTGCCTGGTCACCATGTAGTACAGCAGGATCCGTCAAAATTGAGGACTGCCAACCAAGAAAGGATAAATAATATTAAGCTCACAGTGAAGACAGATTCTATTCAGGTACAGAACAGATTTGCATATCAGGAAATACAGTTTCAGTTAGAAACCCAGCAAGTGTTCTGTCAAGGTAAAGGCAGACGTGGGTTTTAAAGAAAAAATAGGGATCAACAGGTGAAGGGGCTTGTTTTTAAGAAACTTCAATTGATTATTGCATTAACCAAGTTGTTTTGGAAGAATTTGGATTGTTTATGAGGTCTGTTCATACATGGAGCTACACATACTTGTTTGTTAGGGGCATATCACAGGGGGGATTATCAGCAAGCTCTTAATCTTTTAAGAAAGCACATTGGCATACGTCTCAGGAATAGAATTCTGTTACAGTTGGTAGTCTTATGAGCACATTTTTTTTCCAAAAAAAAAAATTTTATTCAGTCATTCAATCATGGGTCTTTGTCTAAAAACAAAAGGGAAGCCTGTCAAATTCTGACCTCTGAGTCTTCCACAGTCTTTCTCTCTCTTGACAAGTGTGCAGTCATTTTAATTTTTTCAGGATCCAGCAGGAAAGACTCGGCCCTCAAAGAGACAAGACATGTTACTTGCCCCTAGGGGTGAGTACAGAACAATGTCCAAAAGGAAAGGGTGTGCATGTCAACAAGGTTTTGAGCAGGACCACATGGAGCATAGTTTGGCCTCTAATGCTATTGTAGATTCTATAATACTATTTCCCTGTATTGAGAACCATGTCCTAGTACATATAATGAGTCATCACACATTGTTCTCCAAGATATTTCCCATGACATTCTGTGTGTGTGGGTCTGTGTGTGTGTGGGTCTGTGTGTGAGTGTGTGAGTTACACACATCCTCATCTGCATCATAAGGAGTTACCAAAGAGGGAGCCCTCAACTCATGATCAGTGGGGATCCCCAAAAATGTTGCTGAAATGAATTGAAGGAGATACCACTTAAGGCATAGAGATTAATTTAGGAAAGTGAAAAATAAACATGCAAAGGAGGATAAGGGCCATCTGGAGAGTAAACAACACTTTTGGGGTTCTCAAACTCTTCTTTTAAAGGAAAAAGAGAGATAGGCATGGGAAGGGATGTGGGGATGACATTCCCTGTTGATCACAAGACAGTTTATGGTGGTAGGGAAATTCTTGGGATCATTAGGCTAATGTGGTCTCTGATATCTGAATAGTAGATAACATTGTAAACTCCCCTATATTTAAGCTTCCTGAAAAAATACCTTCTGTCTTCGATTTTTTATCTCCTTTCACTGCAGTTATTCTAAAAATGGATGTACTTATGGGTTAAATAACAGTTCATAGGGAAATTTTCAAAAGTTGGTGTATTTTCATTAACTTTAAAATTATGCATGAAGATTTGAAGATTTATCAGAAATTTGAGTGTGGTATCCTTGGGAGAACCATGTTTGTAAGTGGCAAGAATAGGAGAGAGAACTGGCTTGCGATTGAAATAATGAAGAGTAGCTCAAGCCTTTCAAATGATGTTGTATTTCCTTGTCTATCCTTTAGTTTCCTTTATACCTATCATTTATTCACTGTTTATGCACATGTAGATGTTTTTAATAGCACTAATATTGTAATGCTGCCAAGATCTACACAGTCAGCACAGTCTGACATCCTACTTATGCTAAATATTGTTCTTCCTCAGAAACATGGTTTCAGAAAGACTAGCTTTGAAACCTGGACAGCTGATGAGCCATTGATCCTTAGCTTCACAAGAGGGTCATGGTTCTTCCAATGAGAAAATTAGACTTCCTTTCCAGCACGTGGCTTTCCATCCAAAAGTAAGAGCCCAACCCTTACAGATGCCATAAAGATTGTTCTGTGTGGCTTTCAAGATGGCTAAATTTACATACAAGCAGTATCCTTGAGTGAAGTTTTATTAACAGGGTGATGATCAAGACAATGGGCACATCAATTCCCAGCTATACAGGGAAATCCAGAGATGTCACAAAGGAAATACACCAGAGTCAAAAGGTGAATGGTGACACATGGAACAATATCCAGAAAATGGGCATCCCATTTGTGCCAAGTGATAAGATGGTGGGCATGGTGCAGAAACCTCCTATTTGCCAGGTATTTCCCATCAGAAACCAATGACCTCACTCTCAAAAGCCCTAGATCTCAAGGAAAAAAATTCTAGAATTTAAAGCTACCTTAAAGCAGCTCCTCCCTGAATATAGAGGGCTCAATAGTGAATGGTCAAATAGCTCCCATCTCCTGCCATCATTGCAGATTAAGAAGCTGCAGAAGCAGGAGCAGGTGAGTTTGGATGTGTGTGTTAATCATTAGAAAAACCACGAGGCAAAAAGGAATTCATATTGGGTTCCTTTCTATGTGTGCTGCAGTGAGGATGGATTCAGAGTGTTTCAGGCTTATGAGTTCCTTATCTGGGAGAGCTGGGAGATGGGCTTAAGAAAAGGAGAGTCTTTTCCCATCTCTTTAACACAACCTGGAACAGGTGATGGGGCACCTTTTCTTCTTTTCTCTGAGAATTGATGTCCAGAGAAAGGGGAGATTTTATGAGCCTATGATAGTAATACCTAGTGAAGACATATCCTCACATGGCCTGAGCTGGCCCATCTCTAAAATTCCAAAGGAAGGGCATCTGCTCCCCATGGAAATCTGGGAACATGGAAGGAGTTGCTAATAGATGCCAGCAGGACAAGTCCCACCTCTCCAGTGGGAAGGATGTGCTCAATTCGGGTGTGACCCAGAGTAACTCACAGCACAGGCTCAGCTGTGATGGCTGTGACTTCCTCTGAGCCTTGTGTTATCACTCCACCAAAAATATCTTTTCCAGGGTTTGAACAAAGCTGCCACATGGTCTGCACTTTCTTCCACAGTGCCTTGGTTAATAATTTTAGGAGTTAATTTTTAGGATATTTACCTAAGGACAAATTGTTAGGGGGCAAATTTTAAAAAGGAAACACAGAAACTTCCTCTAGCTCCACTATGCCTGCATTACTACTGACATCTCATAGGAATGGGGACACGCATGAGAGAAAATCATGCTCTGCTCAAAAAAGCACTAAAAAATCACACTTGAGTTATATTAGCTACAAATTTCTTATCCAACTAATGAGAAATAAAGTCAGGTAGCCTATTTGTATGGGGAAATTCCTGACTCCTAAATTCAAGTTTTCCTTCAGGTAAAAGATCACAAACAGTTTGGGCAACAACTGTGTCTCAGGGGCTGAACCTGACCTTTTTCCTTTGGGCTGCCCAGGGATCCCTGCACTTCTTCTTGAGCTTCTGCTTGGATCTTAGCAGGTCCTTGATGGTTGTGTCCAGGTCCTGGTGGCTGTCCAGCAAGCTCCATCTGTCCTTAGAGCTGTCTTTCTCGCCAACACTCCTCTCTTCTTCTGCCTTCCCCTCTACCCAGAGGTCTTGAGACATACAAATGTCATTGAACATGAAAGATCTTGAGAGGACATGCTAGCTCCTGGCCTGGAACTCCCTTCTTGGAGCCTCACCTGCTTTTCCCTGTCTGGGTGGGTCCTGCCCACTATGGCCAGACTGAGCATGCCCCAGCTGCAATCACCATCCTGGGCACTTTATTTAATCTCTCTTGTTTTCTTGGGTGTGGACAAACTCACAGCATGGCTACCACCTCTCTGTTTCCTTTTGTAGCTCAGGGACAGGTCTGGGGTTTTAGAGAGAGGAGACATGGGGTCAAGAGTCTGACTGCTGTGGCCCAGTGGAGAGAGTAGGCCTGGGTTGGGCTGTGAGCACCTTTTGGCTCTGGCCAGCAGACATTTTTACTGTGCCTTCAGAGCCAAAAACATCTGGATTTCCTGCTCTATGCTATCATAACTGTCCACAGAGCTGCTGTCCCCATTAGAGTGCAAAGGCACATTGGGGGAGCAGATGCAGGCCCATGGCTGCCCTCCACGTGTGGTCTTAGAAATATCCAGAATTGCTTCATTGCACATCAGCTCAGATGTGTCTGACCCACCAAGGCCCCTTCCATAGGCTCCCTCCTGGTGGTGGTGCTTGCTGGAAGTGCAGCAGCTGTGGCATCCTTTGGTGGCTTGGAGAGGTGGTAAGAGTCCAAGCCCCTTGGGCTGAGATCTGTGCCCCTGGGGACTGCTGAGTTCCTCTTGCTGGGTGTTCTCCTGGGGGCATCAGGGAAGGCACTTTTCAGTGAGCTGCCCAGGCTGCTGGCAACTTTCAGCCCCTTCTTTCTGAGCTGTGCTCTTGGTGGCAGATGCCTGCTAGCCTCCTTCCTGGTCTTCTCCAACTGACACAGCTGGATGGCCTCCTGGATGTCATCATCGCTGCTGGAGTCAGAGACCTTGTGCTGGGTGGCTAGGGTCCTGGGACTGCTGCCCCTACCTTCAGCCCTGCAATTCCTGCTCTGTGGTGCCTGGGGCTTGGGTGCAGCAGGCCTTGTGCTGCCCAGGTTCTCAAGCTCTGTGGTAACCTTAGGCCTGAGGCTGCTGTGCGCTGTTCTTACCTTTGCTGACCTGAAAGGTCTATGGAAGACAAACTCCTTCCAGGCTCCATCAGACCATGGCGGGGCAGTGCCATGACAGGGGGCTCCTGGGTGGATTTCAGTGTGGGTTGGGCAGAATTTTCGTTTGAGTCTGTTTTCTTATCCACATACCTGTCACACTTTTGGTTTTCATTTTATCTTTTCTCATTCAGAAATGGTTCTATTTCTGCCCGGATGCTCAGCTCAAAGGAGTCCTTGCTGCTCATCCTGACTGGGGAGGCCAAGCCCTGTTTCCCACAGGCCTCCATAGGGATGCCAGAAACATTGCCAAATGCTGGGGTTAGTTTTGGGGGACACAGGGCGGGCAAGGTGTCACTGTGTGGAGGATCTGTTTTGCATCTGCTGTCCCCACCTGCAGCCCTGCCAGGCTGGGCTCCATTGGGTATGGGCTGTTGTTCTAAGGAGAGCAAGAACCAGAATCATTGTACATAGCCCTGTACATATGGATACTAACATGATGCTTTTATTTAACAGATGTGTCCTGGTAAATATGATTTTTGTAGCTTTTTGTAAATTAGTTATAGTGCTGTAAAAAATATTTTTGGAAAATGTTGTCTTTTGATTTTGAAAGGTGTTTCTAACTGAAGCTTTCTGTGATTTGCTCAGGAGCCATTGATGAGCCCAGAGTTTGGTCTTTTCCTTCACAGTGAGGGTCACCCTGGCTGGAACTCTGGCCAATTGCTGGTTCAGATGTTCAAGCCTAAGGAGGCAGTGGCCACCTTCTGGGAAGCCCTAAAATGCCTTAGTGTCTGTCAGAAGCTCCCAGAACAATGCTTTTAATAAAGGACACACTGGTCCCTAGCAGCCAGAGAAGTTCCTCTGAAAATTGTAATCACAGCCTTGGATTAGTAAAATGTTTCTAAGCACAGTGGCTAGCAAGCAAACTGACCAGCCAGTGTGTGCCTCTTGAGACATCACTGAGACAGTGGCTCACTCTGCAGCCCAGTCCCCTTGTGTCCAGTCTCCTGCAGTCACTAGGTGATTTTAACATCTACGTAAACCTCTTTTTTTAGGACAGCTCCTGTTCTCCTCTTTTGATCATGGTTCTAAGAGATCTTAATGCATGTACATTCTAACTGTCCTTTTCTTGATGTGTGCACACAAATGAATAAGTACAGCAATTAGGTGGTTTGTTCCACAGACAACTTGGCCAGAGCTCAGTGCTGGGGACAAGCCTGGCATACCTCCATATCTGCCATCCAGGAACTGCACCCTAGTCAGGGGTCTGACCATTGACAGAGCCAGTACTGTCAATGCCTCCTGCAGCCCACCTCCTTGGACAGAAGGGTGCTGGTTGTAGGCCATGGCCTCTTGTCCCCTAAGTCAAGGCCTGATGTTGCTGCCTTGGTTTTCTTACCTTCCACCCTGTGGTACTAAGTTATCCATGGTCACAGTGGGAAAAAGGTGTGCTGGCCACCTATGTCCTCCAGTCACCCCATATTCTGCAACTCGGATTCAGCTGTGAGACAGAGTCTACCTTGTAGCCAGAGGATGTTGTTGGTATTCTAATTGGATATGAGTCTTGTACACCTCCTGCACCCCTGGGTATAAACAGAAACCCAATTCTGTGCCCAAGTGCAGACCCCGCCCACAGTGAGCATCAGCTGGGTGAAGTTGCGGTCCTGAGTATCCCAATGTGCCTGTGATAGTTTCTTTGTGGTGCATTCACTCACTTAAGTGCTTATGAGAAAAACAGTTCCATGTAATCCATGTTCTTTTATTAAATTTTTTGAAGAGTACTTTTAACTCTTGGAAACAAAAATCTGCTTTTTTCCATAAGCACTTTCTTTTAAATGAATAAATCAAACATCACACACACACACACACACAAAGATCACAAACAGTCCATTTTAGTTGATTAAAATCTGGAGTATTTCTGCTTGTATATTCTAAGCAGCCAAGGGCACAGATACTGCCACCCTCCCAGGTCCTGAGCCACCCAGGGTTTGCTTGTGGCAGTGCCTCCATAGGAAGTAGGATTAACCTGGCTGAGTATTCAATATATATATATATATATATACCCTTGCTGAACCCACATGTGTTTCCTTACTTAGTCAAAGTGATTGTTGTCAGTCTACAGACATGGACTCTCATCTACTTCTGGTTAATGCTCTGATCATGAGGCTTCTTTCGTTTCATGACATTATGTCTCTGATTGGAGTGATGCCTTACTACCTACCCTCAAGAGCTTAGCTCTGTGCAACCTCATTCCTGACAAAATTCACAGAAACCATGGGGACTCAGTGCATTCCTTAGGCAAGTACAGTTTTTGGCACTTGGACTATATGAAGCAATAGGAGGGGAAAAAAGAAATTCCCAGTGACATTTGACAGTCTACTGTGGTAAAGGAGGCTCTCAAAGAGAGGAACAAACACCACCTATGAAAATACACCAGATAATGTGAAGAATCAATAAAATCAGGAGATTGCTTAATAAAGAGAATGCCATTTATTAACTCATTTCAAAAAATGAATGAAATTTAACAGTGTCACATTGCAATGAAATCATAATCAGTGGACACAAGATAATGGGGTGACCCAGAGTGTAGGAGGACAAGTTTGGTTTTCTGCTGAGTCAGATTTTATCAGTGGTCTCAGCTGCCCAGCTTCATCTAGGGAAGGCTCCAGGAATGTCAACAGCGTTACTGAGCTGGGCCTAGGGCATACGATAACCCAGTAGAGTTAGCGCAGTGGTCATGGGTCAATTCCTGGAAGGATCCTCTGACCTGGGTCCCTGAAGACTAAGGCTGATTTTATGCCCAAAAGAGTAGATGAAGGAATCTGGGGCTCCAACTCTCCCACTTTGTCTTCTCTAGAACTCCAATGCTCAGAAGAAGGCTCCCCAGTAGTCCTAAATCAGCTGCTCCATGAGAGGAGAAAGTTTGCATAATCACCAAATACTAGTTGCTCCCAGAATCATGAGAGAGCATAAGATGATATGAGAGGACCAGATGTGCTCTGAACATCAGGAGTTTGATCTCTGGGAAATTTCCAACTTGGCCTGGCTCCCCATCCTGTTCCCATCTTTCTCTGCACAGATGACACGCTCAGTCCTGTCCCTAGTCTCACCCTTTTCAGGACCCTCAACTGAACCCACCCCATACCCTGACTTAGCCCAGGCAGAGCCTCAGGATGGAATGCTGGGATGGGTCTTTTATCCCCAAGCACCCTCTTCTCTATCTCTTACAGGCTCTGTGGCTGTCTTAGAGCTGACACAGCTGGCCTTGGGGCCAGTTGCTGTGGGACAGATGGCCACCATCATCAGCTCTGGAGATAGCCTCGCCAATGAATATGCTTGGCACTGGTACCTATGTGGATTAGTCATCTCTTGGTGTCCACAGCTTCTTTGGTGTTAGCAGAGGCAGCACTGCCCATGGGGCCCAGGTCCCTATGTTGTAGAGCTAATTCTCCTGTTGGTGGCACCAGTGTTTGTCAGCCTCGCCCTCAGAGTTCAGCTTCTCCACCCAGAAAACAACCAGCAGGTTCCTGCTCAGGTACTCCAATGCCTTCTGCTCCATGCTAGGCCTGCAGAACAAGGAGGGCACCAGCAGACACAACCTTGGGGAGGTGGGGTGCACAGGTGCGAGAGGTCCTGTCACTGCCACCTGTATCAGAGGCTCAAACAACAGATTCCAGAACAGCTTAAGTCCCCATTTCCCCCTTTTCACGTCTTGAACTCATTTATTCCACCACACTCTTCTGCCATAATGTTCACACTTGCCTCAAGACCTAAGGAATGGAGTCAATTGTTTATGGATTGCAACGTAGGAAACCTTGAGAATCCAAATAAATTTTTTATCCTCTAAATGTTGTGTTTTTTCCTTTTTTTTTCCTTCTTTTCTTTTTTTTAACAGTTGAATGCATTTTGACAGATTGTACACAAATTGAACACAACTTTTTCCTCTGGTGGTTCATGTGGCAGAGTCACTCCAGTATTGTAATCATACATGTATATAGGGTAATAATCTTTATCTCATTCTACTGTCCTTCCCATCCCCACAGCCCCACTTCTCCCGTCTGTCCCCTCAACACAAATCAAAGTGCCTTTCTGATTCTGCCTGATCCTCCCAGCCCCATTATGGATCAGCAACTGCTTATCAGAGAAAACTTTGAGCTTTTGGATTTGGGGGATTGGCTTATTTCACTTAGCATGATATTCTCTAGTTCCATCTATTTACCTGCAAATGCCATAATTTCATTCTTCTTTTAGGCTGAATAATATTCTATAGTATATATGTACCACATTTTATTTTTCCACTCATCTGTTGAAGGGCATCTATGTTGGTTCCACAGTTTAGCTATTGTGAATTGAGCCACTATAAGCATTGATGTGGCTTCAACACATTAAACACACAATAAAAACACATGTATGCTGATTTTAAGTCCATTGGGTATAAACTGAGGAGTGGGATAGCTGGGTGCTTCTAGTCTAAGTTTTCTGAGGTATCTTCATAGTGCTTCACATACTGGCTGGACCAATTTGCAGTCCCACCAGCAATATATGAATGTAACTTTTTTCCCACATCCTTCACAACACTTGTTATTACCTGTGTTTTTGATACATTGTCATTCTGGAGTGAGATGACATCTTATAGTAGTTTTGATTTGCATTTCTTTCATTGTTAGAGATGATGAACATTTTTTTCCAATGTGTGTTGATTGATTGTATTTCTTCTTCAGTGAAGTGTATGTTCAGTTCCTTAGCCCATTTATTAATGGTGTTATTTGGCTTTTTGGTGTTCAGGTTTTAAGTTCTTCACATGAGATTAGTGCTCTATCTGAGGTCTGTGTGATAAAGATTTTTCCCCATTCTGTAGAATCTCTCATCATGTTATTGCTTGTTTCCTTTGCTGAGAAGAAGTTTTTTAGTGTCTGTCCATCCCATTATTGATTCTTGATTTTACTTCTTGCACTTTAGAAGTCTTGTTCAGAAAGTCAGGTGAGGAAGATTTGAGTGAACTCTTTCTTCTATTGGGTACATAGACTCTGTTCTGTCAATCTTTGATCCATACTCAGTTGATTTTTGTGCAGGTGAGAGATAGTGGTTGAATGTCATTTTGCTACATATGTAGTTCCAGTTTTCCCAGCATCATGTATTGAAGAGGCTATGTTTCTCCAATGTATATTTTTGGCACCATTGTCTACTATGAGATAAGCATATCTATGTGGGTTCATCTCTGTGTCTTGTATTGTACTATTATTGTTCCACATGTGTCCTTTGGTACCAATATCATGCTGTTTTTGTTACTATTGCTCCATAGTATAGTTTAAGTTCTGATATTGTGATGCCTCCTGCTTCATTCTTCTTGCTGAGGATTGCTTCTTCTATTCTAGGCCTCTTGTTTTTCCAAATGAATTTTGTGATTCCTTTTTCTAATTCTATGAAGATTGTCATTCTCTGGTAGAGATGTAATGCAAATCAAAAGTACTCTAAGATTCCATCTCACTCCAGTCAGAATGGCAGCCATCAAGATTACAAACAACAATAAGAGTTGGCCAGGATGTGGGGGAAAAGGCACATTCATACATTGCTTGTGGGACTGTAATTTGGTGTAGCCATTCTAGAAGTAAGTATGGAGATTTCTTGGAAACTTGCAACATAACCACAATTTGACCTATCCCACTCCTTGGCTTAGATGTAAAGAACTGAAAAACAGCCTACTACAGGGACATAGACACATCAATGTTTATAGCAGCACAATTTACAATAGCTAAATTGAGGGACCAACCAGATGCCCTTCAATAGATGAATACATAGAGAAACTTTTGTATATATACACAATGGAATATTACTCAGAACAAAAAGAGAATAAAATAATAGCATTTACAAATAAATGGTTGGAGTAGGAGAATATAATGCTAAGTGAACTAAGCCAATCCCAAAATACCAAAGGCCAAATGCTTTCTTTGATATGAGGATGCTGACTCATAATGATGATAGCAGGGCATGGGAGAAATGGAGGAACTTTAGATAGGGCAAGGGAAGGGAGAGGGTGCAAATGATGATGAGAGGGCATGGGGGTACAAATGATGGTGGAATTAGTTAGACATCATTACCCTAAGTACATATATGAAGAAATAAATGGTGTGAAAATACTTTGTGTACAACCAGAGACTTGAAAAATGGTGATCTCTATGTATAATATGAAATGAATTGAATTCTGCCATCATATATAACAAATTAAAATGAATAAATATTTTAATAGAAAAGTGAATAAATGAACAGCGGGAGGACATCCACCTTGTTTTCATGAAATCAAGAAATAAAGACCGCAGCAGCAATGGCAGTGGAGTTTGGCGACCATG